TAGTGAGTAAGTGAGTGAGTGGGTACAAGGTACCTAGACACGTGTATGGTGGCGTCGCTTTGTCATTATATAACCGTTTGACCTTTTCCTTAAGGAATGCGATATTTGATCTTTGCTTTAAACCTTGCAGAAAAAAGTTTCTGTTGACATGTTGAGATGGAAATATTCTAATTCATCAGGGAACACTCGTTTTAACCTGAATCTTAACAAGTCATGTCTTGCATGACCAGACAGATAATCACACCCAAAAAACGTATATATGATCACCATCCAAAAACATACATATCACCACCATCCAAAATCCGCATATGTCCTTAACATGCACAAACACACACTGTCATCGCCATCCAAAACATGCATATTCCATTATCATTCCAAATACGCATATGACATCACCATCCAAAATACGCATTTGTCATCACCATCCAAAATACGCAAATGCCACCACCATCCAAATATAAAACACAGCATATGCCATCACATAACAAAATACGCACGTCATCACCATCCAAAAAATGCGAATCACCATGGTTTGTATGGAGATAATATTGCTGTACGTGGGGGGTTTACACATGGTGTTCTTAAGTGAGTGAGGCACTTTCATTGTATATAAGATAGTTATGAGCCTGAAGAATTGTTTTCACCTTATGTTTTCAGTCCAATGTCCCCCAGGCTGCCTCACCCAGAGTGGCTACATTTCTACAGGCGCCACGATAATTGAATCCAATCAACTCTGCAGTAAATATCAATTGTCTACGTCATATGGAAATGACGCAGAACGAACTCTGATACAAAACACACAGCGTGGGCTTCTACTGTAATTCGTATGTGGTCTTTAATGTTGATGAGGAGCAAAATCTAATCGTAGCAGAGACTCGATACACTTGTTACGCATCGTTAGGCTAATCGTCTATGTAGGTGATTAAATTCTTGATTCATCTGGCCACTGACACAAACAAAATGTATAAAACAAGGAAGCATAATGCCAATGTATTATACTTGATGGTCGTGCAAATAAAACAATTTGCAAAAAATGTAAAGACGTTTCTATGGTATCCCGTATAACAAACCATTTGCCTGACTTTAACCTACAGCAAACACTGTGTATGCGTGTTGGATGTTGGAGCAGACAACAAAGTGTAACTGTCATGCACATCCCAGGGACAACATTGAGGGAACATATTGTTACGGTTAACAATTTGCCGTGACAAAAGGTTTAAGAGTCCCCTTTTAACCAGCAAAATAGAACACAGACAAGTCTAAACTATTCAATAATATATTGAACAAACAATGAGCAAGCTACAATGAATGACAATACAGATTTCTAGTACAATGCAGTTGAGTCACAAATCTAAAATATTGGGTCACAAATATAAAATATTAACTCACCAGGGTCTTGACATTTACAGTGAGAACAGATATACTGATTGAAGGTTGTTTACAATGACACAGTTGAATATAGACGAGCAACGGTCAGTCTTGACGATGTTGAGCAAACTCGACGATAGCAGACCGATGTGTATAACTCCAGTGATGTGATAAGTCCCGTCGCTCTTACACAGTTCTCGAGCATTCTAGCAAAGCTAGGCTCCCTCATTATTCTCTCAGAACGATGCAGGTTTTTCTCGAACAAACGACCGGAAGTCGAAACAAAATAAAGCTATCCAAGGGAGGCAAATCTGAAGTGCTATCCAAAAGGCATACCGCTAAAAATACTATTGCCATTGAACACATATGAGGCGAGATGCCAGCCACAATCCACATTCAAAACTTTAAACATTGTGACCCATAATAACTATCACTTAATCAATGTGATATTACAAATTACAAATTACAAAAAAAACACACTCTCATAACAATATCATTCGCAACATCTAGAATAATTATTGCTTGAAGAGAAGCGACAATACCTCTTCCACATTCGTAAGAAACCTCTCATAAAAGAGTCGATTGTACAATAGTACATAATAAAGAAACGGAACTCTTTGCCTTGAGACTGTTTGAAGCTGCTGATTTTTTAACCCTGACACCCCATGGGGACCGGGTTTCGATTTTTATCTCCCACTATACTGCTTGGCAAAGGGGGTGGTCAGACTAATGACCTGTTCCATTACATGTAGTCGTAATGGCTAGGTCGCTGTTAATAATATCCACCCCCAGTTTGTCTGGACAGACTGGGTTATTTATAGGCCCCCGATACATAACTGGATAGTGTTTCAAATGACAGTGCGTCTCCGCAGTGCTAAAGTGCTAGTGTGTGTGCAGTTTGGGGTTTAGCAGAAACGCTATTCATATTGTGACGTCATTTCTTCAAACCTTTTATCGTGGTCCGGTTTAATCCCAGGTATAAATCCAGCTGTGTTGTTATGGTACAGACAGACATGAGATGTCATGTTCTGGATGCCTGGATTTAGGTTCAACTTTAACTTTGTCACATTAAGGTCATGTTCACTTTCCTCAAAAAGGACGTTTTGAACACGAAGAATCATCAAGATTAAAAATTCAACATTTACGAAGCAAAACTTTGAAAAAAGATCTAGTTGTTTTGAATGAAATGTCTGCATTGAATGGGTTCGAACTGATATTAAATATATGATCATTTATTGTGTTACTTTGACCTTTTAGTTCAACATCCATATCGATTAAACACACACAGAGAAGCAGCAAAACAAATGTATTTAAAGTAGACAAAACAGTTATGATCCTCTTGCATATTGTAGTAATAAAATACAATACATGAAATGGCAACTGAATGCAGTTTCAGGAAGAGTTCTTTGGCTAAATGCCACATAAGTTTACTGACGATCAGACGTCAGTGACGTTAATCATAACGACGTTAGTAAAATCGCAGGAATCTAAACATTTATAGCGGGGTATCCCTCATCTGCATCTTGTTAAACATGGCGCATCGTGGGGGATAAATGCTGAACTTAAACAATAGTCTCCTACAACAAAGACAACATGGTGAGCTGGATAATAAACATTCAAGACGGTGGAGTTGGAGCTGTCTCCGACGTTGCTATATAACGCTGCTTGTTTTGTCTGCTCGTCAAACTAGTCTTATCTGTCTGAATGTCAAGGGTGTGGCTCTCGTAGTTATGTGTACTGATCGGGTATTTGGGAGTCTAAAGATTCAATTAATTACCAGCTTATAACACAAATTTCATTTGCAACGGAATCTTTGAACCAAACTACATGGATGTGCCATTGTTGACGTCTTATGTATGACTTTATATATGTAATTATGCTAAGGATATTTGCCTCGAAAGGCAAGAGTTACGATCACCAGTCCATAAGAACAGCGCACCTGCCATATGCAAATGAGCCACAACACAAGCACAAGCAAGCAAGTGTGTCCATCTTGTGCATTGATGTAGGTTTGGCGTTCGCTTTATTGAGGTCACTAAACGTTGATGGAAGTCCTGTGAAAACAATAACAACAACGACAACAACATTTGAATACCGGGAAAGGATTTGGCAGAGTTGTTGCACCATGTCATTCCAGACGTATTCAAAGGGTGACAGTCAGGTGATATTGTGGGTCAGGGGACACGTTGAGTTAAGATTAAGCTACTGTTGTACAACTCGAGCAACGTGTTGTCTGGCGTTATCGTGTTGTAACGTCACTGTTCACGTTCCGTTGTAAAAACGGTAAAGCGACCATTTGCAAAATCTCGGCCTCGTATCTCACAGCATGGTTGCGGTGTTCGAATCCGTCGGTCTTGACGTAGTAAGCGTCCGAAAATGTAGCGCTTCTTGAAAATCTAGAACAATTCGAACAACTACTTGGTTGCGTTTCTTCGAACATTTTGACACACTCTTTCTCTGTACAAGAAACAATGTACAAAATTACCAATAAAATTTTTCCACGTCACAATAACTTTACCTCTGAGTATACATAACACAATCAAGTTAGACGCCGGAACGAGTTCAATTTGGCCAAGAAGTTTAACTTAAACTTGAGATATATGGATAATATTATTCAATAACATCGATTTACACACAGGAGATAGGACTAAAGGTACCAGTCTAGACTCCTCATGTCTCTTATACTTGGTTCTGTGACAAACCATTGGTGTATTCATAACTACCCAGCAGTCAGTATGACACAAGGGATGACTAATTCCTCTTGTTGAACCCCAGCAGATTCAGCAGTTGGTGTCTACATGTCACAACAGGTACAATCAACCAAGCATTCTGTACGAATATTTCAGTGTTCCAACATTCAAGGTCTCAGTAAATCGTTGCAAACGTTTCACCGTAGACATGTAATGGAAGTTTCCGAATTTGACGAATGACTGACAAAACTAATTGTTGCTTATTTACACCTTTCCATGGAATGTCATGTTTCTAAATATCAATAGAAACAGTCAGTGTCAACGAATACCCATCCTTAGAAGTAGATTCCATTTGGTGTGAAAGGCAAACTATCTGTCTACGTTATATGAATGAATCACTGAAAGTCAGTGTTGACATCAGGTGTTTGCGAGCAGGGTAAGAATGTCCTGACCTGCCACCACACGCACGTGTTACAGAACAAGGTCCAGTGTAGATATGTATCCCAATACTGATTTGTTGCTGCATATCTATGGTAGTTTATGTAACCTTGTTAACTTGTTGAACCTCCCTTCAAGTAGCACCTGAAATAAGACAGTATATGTCACCGAACAAGTATAACATCTGAAACAGTAGCGAAAAACGTTAACTTCATGAGCATACCTTTTCGAAAAGGAGAGAAACCCTTCCATGCACACAACCGACGCCTCTCTCTCTCCCATACCCACAACCACTGTCTCACTCTCTCCCATACCTACAACCATCGTCTCTCTCTCTCCCATACCCACAACCACCGTCTCTCTCTCTCCCATACCCACAACCACCGTCTCACTCTCTCCCATACCCACAACCACCTCACTCTCTCCCGTACCGTACACCGTCTCGCTCTCACCCACACCGACAGTCTCCGCTTTACAATCTCCCATACCTACGACCTACGCGTCACTCCCTCCAAAAGCAATTCCTGTCTCGCTCGCTCCCATACCAAGAAATCTCGGCTTCCTCGCTCGCTCTGTGTCCGACAACAGGAAGCCTATTACATCATCTTGTGCTTAGGGTTATTCCGTCTCCACTGCATACAAGCTGATGTAACCGTGCAAACAAGAGGAGAGTCCCGTTCGCACTTCAGGCCTCCGCTTAGCGCCCTCCGCCTTCGCCCGATCCCGGGGGTACATACCGGCTGCAAGCACCCCCGCGGCTGTCTGTGAAGCTAGGTTAATTCAGCATCCACTGCACATGAATGAAATTAGGCAGCAGGCCCCAACACGTAGTGGGAATGAGTGTCGAAATGAGTGTTGATATGTGACGACTGTGTTCCCTTTGGAGTAGTGGGCAGAAACACTTTGGAAACACTATATCGTCCAAAGGAGAGTTCTCATTTGTCAGCCGTTTTGATTGGTCTCATCTTGCTCGTCATTTAATGTGGGTTGTTTACAACGTGCTTCAGCTTCACAATGGGCATACTGAACGAATTCCGTATTTCCAACTTTGGACTAAACCACAGCGAACCTCAAAGATTTGTCACATCTCAGGTAAGATAAAGACTGAATTTATGTTTTGTTTACTTTTTTTATTTTCACAATTCAAACGTTTTGAGATCTGAATAAATCTATAAATTTGATAAATATTCTATTGTAGGTTCAGTTACCAATGTTGCTGAATATCGTCAAAAAAATACATTACCAGAATACTTTATGCATTATAGATAGAAAGGCATTTATTAAAAGTGTTGGCATGGAAAGTGTACATATACAAATAAATGCTTTATAAAGTATATTGACGTTGGGTAATATCCCCAGTTGTAGCTAGTTTGACGGCGCATTAAGATTAATCCACATACCTCCGCTGCCGAGAGTACTAATGCAGATGTTGCCATGTATCATGTCGTATGTTTACTGACATGCTGGGTAACGACCTTGACCGACCGCCGGGTACTGCATACGTCACCAAGTGTCTGTAGTCTGACGTTGAGTCGTCAGTGTAGATATTGGAATTTGTCGCATTTATCATCGTAGGGCTCACTTTTTATATGAATACACAGTTCCAGAAAGGGGTCAACATATGTAACATATGTCTAGTATAATACAGACTCTAGTAAGGGGGGGGCAAGTGCCATTCAGGATTCGAGCAAACGCTCTCTTATAGACCAAATGCCTTAAACCTTTTGATATTCCAAATCTACAGAAAAGGGAAAGGGAAGGCAAACAAGCAAAGACTGTACAATTTAACCAGAGAGCGATAATGAGACAACGAGACATTTTGAACGTTTTGTATGACTTTGATTAATACAGGTTTTTACTAATTCTAAAAGCAAACAATGTTCAACGCAACATTTTCAAGGCGGCAAACGCGATAATGAGACAGTTTGTCAAAATGCTGCGTTTTTATATCGTCTAGCTTTGGCTAATCTTTAATTTGTTTCTTGTTTGTTGTGAACACGACAACGCCACAATGTCCCTCCTGGGATTCCATACAAATCTGTAGTGCAGAGACGTTGTCAGGCCAGCAACTTAGCTGCAGGGGGAGAAGGTACCTCAGTCTATTTTAACTGGAATGTTTACTACGCACTTGAAGTTTCTGGGTGTCTGGGTGGTTCAGTGGTCCAGTGTCAACAAACTGCCGCCTTTATAACGTCGGTTCGGACCCTACATTCGCGCTGATCATGAACCTCGGGCTGTTCGTGGGTTCCATGGATATCCAGTGGTAAAGATTAGGACCTCTGTCACTTACTTCATCCTCACAGTAATATACAGCATTGTGAAATAACCGACATACTGATCAAAGCCCAAATGACTCAATCACTGTCTCTGCGGTTTCCTTGAAGAATGTGAACTGTAACTGCTGCAAGGTAGTTTGACCCAACAGAACAGTGCTAAAGTCTTCACAATGTGGCACAGTGGGCAGTGTCCATCAGCTGATACATCGAAGAATAATCAAGTTAACGTACATGTGTCTTCCACTAATACGTATTGAAAAGGTTCTAAAAACTCTCGTCGCAGCTGTTGAAGTCTCGGACGGGTTTCGCATGGCTATAGACACAGTGGATGGTTGTGCCCTGTGAAGAGCTGGGTTACAACTGGTCCTCAATCCTTCAGCTGCTTGTCGGAAGAGGCCACTAACGGGATCGCCTGGTCAGGCTTGAGGATTTTTTAGATACATTTCTTCGTGTCATATTTGCACAGATCTATGCTCCTTCTGTCAATCACTGGATTGTCAGGTCCAGATCCGACTACACCGGCATACCGCTGGAATATAGCTGAGTCAGGAGTTTACGAACAAGCAAACATCCAGCCGTTGCACGTGTACCTGGATGAATGGTTATTAAAATATGAAAATGAATTTAACAAGGCAGAACCATCAGTAATGTTCACGTTTTATATCTTATGTCGTTTTAACCTTACTCAGGTACATGAAAATTATGTATTCTATTTTGAGGATTCACTTTCAACAAACACATATAGGATTTGCTTGAGTTACTGATAAGCAAAATTTAGAATGGGAAGAACTCATCTTTCTCAGCTGGATAACGATTGTCCCCAGAATCAGAGAGGTCACGTTAAAATACTTCGGGACGTGTTTCCATGATCTACAGGCAACAAGGGTTTACCAGCCGGAGCCATATCCCTGAGATCAAAAGCTGAATTACAGCAAATGACTGAAGTTAAGTTTGATGGTGAATAGAAGAAACATGCGTACTGGCTAGACAAATAACACGTTGATAACCTTCTTGTTTCACTCATGGCTGTGTAACTCGGGATCAATGAGGAACCTCCCACATTTACCAAATATCTTAATATGCTATGTTTCACAAAAAGTTATCTATTGGTGTTTTTGTTTTCTGTCCCAGTGGGGCCACCCCCGTCTCTACCTGTCCTGGAGGATATTCTGGGCTATCTTCCATACATCCTGGTTGGTCAGTAGCATGGTGTATTCCACTAAAGTGACGTCATCACCGCTAGGTGGCGCTGTGTGGTTCATCTACCTCACCAACTGGACCTACCTCCTGCTGACCATCAGTGCTATCCTGGACGCAGTCATCGTCGTGTTCGTCAGGATCAACAGACAGGACATTATGAAAGGTAAACTTTACTACACATTAATCAACAAACTATTACGGGATTCACAGAAGTGGTCTCGATTTTTCAAACTCTACCGAATACACCTATAAAGGTATCCAAATGTATTTTGACCAGTTCCAAAGCTAGTAGCATGTCCATTTAATCAATAATCTCAAGTCGAGTTGCAGACTGGTACTCATGCACACATTTTTTGTGATATGTACTGTGTGTTTCTCCTTCAGGGTTCACGTCACACCTGACGTGGTACATGAAGGTGTCCTGGCTCCTCAACAGTGTCGTCACTGAAGGGAGTTTACAGATAAGCGCCCTCTACTGGATCTTCATATTCAGAAGTAAACACATTTTACTATTTTACGGTAAACATTAACTTTAATAAATCTGTGTAGTTGTGTATTACATCGGTTTACCAGAAATACCTCGCATTTTGTTAATATGAACTAATATGTGGTGTGTATTGATGCATCTTCTCTTTCAGATCAAGATTTGACCCTGCTGAGATTCATCCTCCACGGTATGAACTCCATTTACGTCATGTGCAACCTCCTCATCGTGAACATGCCAGTTCGTGTGTATCACGCGATCTACCCCATTATCTGTGGCGTCATCTACACAGTTTTCAGTATCGTATATCACATACTTGGAGGGACCAATGAAAAGGGAGAACCGTATATCTACAAGATTCTTGATTGGTCCAAACTGAAGCGGACTCTACCTCTTGTGTTTCTGAGTACATTTTTGGCTCTACCTTGTTTGCATTTAGTTGTTTTCTTCATTCACAAACTGAGGATATATGCACGGTCAAAATGTCTGAAACAAAACATTGAGACAAAAATTCTTGATTCATTGACTGAAAGGAGTGATAGCGAGAGTGCATGTCTCTGATGAAGCATATTTCAACACTGACAAAGGCAATGTGTCGATCTCAGTAACAAATCTTTGAAGATCTCAGAACAGTTTTGGATTTAAAGAAGAACTTTACATCCCCAGGTACAATGATAATTAATACTTCACTGTAGCAAAAAAGCAAAACTTGAAAAGTGAATTTTGCCAACAAAACGCAAACGTTGACAAATGGACGCTCAACCAATCAACGAAGCAAAAGAAAGACCAAAAACACAACTCTCCCACCGTATAAAGTACATCTCCGTTAAATAAACCTTTCTTGTTTGTTTGTTTACCCACCACCGAATATTCGGGTATGCTTTTCCTTTCCCAGGGTTTTATGTTTGAATACACAATTCCATTTATAATCCCAAATATAACATATGTTGCATTTTACGTTTGATCAAACATTTATGTAAGTGGGATATGTTCTGAAGCATAAGCCCAATTGGTATTTACAAGTCTATTATCTCATTAAATTCAAAGCACAGGGACTATTGAGAATTGTACATAAACACTGAGTGGGATCGATCAGGATTCAAATGGGAACATGCAGCTATCTGGTTCGGAACTATACCAAACGTTCATTGTGGATACACTTGTGTCACTGGTTGCATCGCATGTCACAGGGTCAGCTTGACATAGTGAAGAATTCTTCACTAGTTGACGTGCAGTCTGATAAAAGTTCATTTGCTGAGTCTGTTGTATGTCCAAGCATAACTATATGCCATGGAGAAGCACACTGACAATCTGCAAATATATCCGTGTGTACCTTTACGATTAAGTGTTGACTTTTCTTAAGGTGGAGCAGCTGTGTTCTGTATGAAAGTGGACAAACATTATTGATCACGATTTCAGAATACACTATAAATGTTATTGCATATACATCTTTTCCTGACCATGTAAGCATACAGAAGCGAAGACCTGGGTACATGTACATACTGTCACTGACGGGGTCTTAGCAATATTTAGCAGGAAAGAGGTGTAACGAGATCAACACACCAAGTTCGTTTCAGGACGAATACAACAATGCTCGCTGTATATACCTGATAAAACTATATACACTCTTAAAAAAACCCGCATAGGTGATTTTCAGAATACTGTACTCATGTAGCTGCGGGAAAAACAACACAAATATACCGTTTCTTTCCTAAACGTCATCTTGTGTGATTGCAAGCAGCTTCAGTGCCAAAACGCGGCAATTTTAAAGTTTTCCCTTCAAATTGTTTTAGAAGCGTTTGAAGAAATATTTGCCTAAACGTCACCAAGAAAACATGCAAAGCAATATGCAAGTAAGCTGAAAAGCAGGCGGTATCGATCACTAATGAAAGTCAACCTTGTTTAATTTTGTCATTCGTTTTTGCCTGGAAAAGAGGAAATCATCATGCCACGACTGAGTGTCGCAAATTGAAACATCGCCATAGGCCGCCTTGAAGCTGGGGAGTCGCAGTCTGCAGTTGCCCGACATTTCACCGTTCATAGAGCACTATAACCCGCCTTTGGGATCGTTTCCTGCAGACCAATTCCGCCGAGATGCGTCCGTCCAAGAGTAACCACCAAAGCCCAGGACAGCTACATCCGGGTTGCTCACTTGCGTCATCGTCTTGAAAAAGCCGTTCAGACTACAAAACGCATTCCTGTTTTGAGAAGAATTTTACACCAAACTGTCAAGTGGGGATTCGACCAAGAAAGCCAGTTGTCGCCCCTGATTTGAGAGACTTCCATCGGCGCAATCGCTTGCGGTGGTGTCGTAGAGTCCGGAACTGGAACCTTAGAAACTGGAGGCGAATCAGGTTCAGGGATTTCTTCTTCACCAGCGAGATGGAAGACAGCGTGTTTACCGTCGGAGAAATGAACGTTTTACCCCTAATTGAATTCGACAGGTCGACAGATTCGGAGGAGACAGTGTCATGGTGTGGGGTACGATATCCAGCACACAAAGATCTGATTTCGTGTTGGTTCAGGGGAATTTGACAGCGAATCGGTACATCAACGAAGTGGGGAAGAGTGGGGAAGTCTTCCGCAAGACCGACTTAGTCGACTTATCCTCTGTGCCGAGACAGTGCTGAGAAGTAGTTGCTGCCAATGGTGACCATACAAAGTACTGACTTTGACGCCATTTTGTGGACTGAAGTAAACAGGAACACAACAATGTTTTGTTGACGTCTATAGAACTGTGAATTTTCACCTTTTTACCATAGAAAATACATGAAATAATTGCTATTACACTAACGCAATACATTCTTCTAAAAATGGTTTATGCGTTTCTTGTCAATAGATTTACCTTCAAAATGAGATATACATTACTAACATCGAAGTCGTACTTTGGGAGTTATCGAGCCAAAATCATTGCTCAGGATTTGTTCCACCAACTTACCTAAGTTTGTGTTTATTGTACACGTTGAATCGATGGCACATGTCAGCGAGGTATTCGCCATTCTTTTCATAATGTGTTTACGTACTTTGTTCATCGCTATAACAGGCTTGTGTCGTGGCCGTTCTCCATTGTCGACATCGACCTAGCCCGCACTGAAAAGAGCCAGCAGTCTGACGGGACGTATTTCATTTACAGCCAATCAGATCGCTGGCTTTTTTCAGTGCATCAAATTGACGATGGCATTAATCATACACCCAAATAGCAAAATCTGCATGTCCCAGTGTAGAAGTGCATCAGATTATACCACGGGGAAGGAATTCTGTTTCACAGATAAATGCATGGAATAGTTGTGATCTGGTGTTGACGTTAACAACAGCGCCGCACCCCAAATAACAAACATTGCGTTCATGTGACGGTAATTATATACTATCCATGCTGCTGTCTTGTAAAAACGTCAGCTCACAGAATTAACAATCTCTGTCACATTCATCCGGAACATGCTGAGGCAGATATGCTCACCGGCAGCCGAGGTAACAATTACAATCATACGATCTTTATCAAGGCGGCTTTCATTCCATGTTTATCCTTCATTTCAATTCATTTTTGTAGTAGGTGCTCATAATAGTAGTAGCAAATTACGTTCTGATTTAATATATTATCTAACCCGCCTAATTTAATTTATGATTAAGGACCGAGTGTTGCTGTTGCCTACCATCTGGGCAGGATTTGCCTGACTACATGGGTTATGGACGCGACTGTGTTTGTATCAAACGGTAATATTGCATTTGTATGTGTTTCCTCGGTGACCGCTTCAAAGGTTTCTATAGTAACCATCTAGTCAGGGTTATACAGATTATTGTGAGGCACCGTTTGATAATACATATAGAACTAGTAGTACATGTAGTACACGAGCCGGACTCAACTTCTTCTGCATTATGTCGTGGGAAGGCTGTTCATATTCCGTACTGTAATAATTACTACAAACTGGGGAACGCAAACATGTGTAATTAGTCTTTATGCATATTTCAACCACCTGCATGTAGGATAAGGTTGCTTCTGAGTATGTGCTCATTTTGCCACGTGTACTCCTCTATGCCTCTTTCAATACTTTATTACCTTATCATCTAACACATGGGATATTTTCAAAACACAACAGCTGTTTCATACCACGGATCCCCGTTAACCTTATGAAGAGGCTAATTATCAGTAACTCTTATACATCACAATATTTATTCATACACAGGTGTTGTTGAACAACCACATCAACTGTTAACAGAATACCACATATCTTTTATGTGTTTCAAATGAAATACCCCAAGCATTTAAACCTATTAATGAAAGAAACTATTAAATAAAAGCTACAAAATCCTTTCCATAGCCATAAAAACTCCCATGACACGTGATCAGCTGTAGATAGTGAGTTATCATCCCAGGGAATGCCTCTGATGTCAACAAGCGTCCACCATGTAAACCATAGCGTGTACACAAGGTGCAGTGTGTTAAACTTGGCCCTAGAGATGCATCCTGACTATTCATCAGTGATACAACACATCTGAAATAGACAGGTAGAATGTGCTGCACGGTTCAAGCAATCAGTAAAGTTCCGTTAAACGTTCTGAATTCCGTTACAAGCCGCCTTCGTATGCCGTTAACCTTATGGGGACGCTAATCATCAATAACTGTGTTACTTCACAATATTTGGTCATATACAGGTGTTGTGGAACACCCCATCAACCTCATCAACTGTTAACAGAATACCATAAATTGGTATGTATTTCATTTCAAATACCCCCAGCATATAGACCTATTAATGAAAGGAACTGTCAAATAAGAGCGACAAAATCCTTCCAATAGTCATAAAAGATCTCATGACACGAGATCACGAGAGTTATCATCCCTTTGAAAGCCTCTGATGCCAGTCAGCGTCACAACGTCTGTACATCAGGTGCAGTGTATTAAACTTGGCCCCAGAGACGCATGATATAGGTTCGAAGATAGAGCTGAAGTCAGTTACAGACCGCCATAATTTGGCAGGAGTTGGAAAACAGGCAGCAGCAGAAACAAACACGTTCATGCAAACAGTATAAACAGTTTTAAACCGGGTGACATCAACGATTATCAGAGATCCATAGCTATATATTTTGTCACAGCTATATTGACATTGTGTCCAATGGAATCTGTTTCGGGGGATAATCGAGACTGGGTATTATCTGGTAATGTCTTATTTACAGGATTGAGGTAAAGTAAGCTATGAAAGTATAACAGAATCTACATTACGTACGCAGCACAACTGTGGTGCCTGTTTACACCATATATAGAATGACCAGAAATTATTGAGAATTTTAGGAATATGTTAAATTGGATTTCTAGTATAAAAAAACTTGACCAGCTATCAAGTGCTTGGTTTCATTCAAGAGAGACAACTCCGTTAATCCTTTTTTCATTAGTTTGTGAAGAGTTGTCCCCCTTTGTTTACTTGCTAGCAGACGACATTTTCAGTGATCCTCAGTATGGATGATTTAGAGAAGAGGAAGTTGATTTTAGAGTATTATAACAAGGACATAAGATCAGCTAAAGTGATTTCAAGTAGAACAGGCATCCCTTTGTCCACTGTTTATCGTGTTTTGAAAAGTATTGCAAATGGATAGTGGCATTGAGCACCAGGGAGGCGTAGGGAGGCCCAGAAAAAAGACTGTCGGTGACAGGAGGCGGCTTGGTATTGTTGTTTCTAAAAACAAACGAAGGAGTTTAGAAAACTTAAGGCTGGATATGATTGATAGAGGAACTGTGGCTGTCTGTAAGGAGACAATTAGAACTGAGCTGCATGCAAAGGTTTGGCAGAAAAGTCGAGGAATTCCATCACCGATCATGAAACCTGAACAAAAAGGAGCAAAGGT